ACATCCTGACCCTTCTTTCTGTACACACATTTAAAACAACATCTTGATGCAAATTGATATAAAAGGAACAATTTATTACAGATGCAAAAGTCAACTTAACATTAAACTTTGGTACTTATATCACCATGAACAATGAAGCGTAAGAGAAAACCCAATTGAACAGTTTGCTTTACCCAAGCCTTCATAACTTCAAAACCCAATAATCATCAATACATAATGATCGCAAGATAACCAGTTCTTGAATATTAAGAAACCAGAATTGTTGCTTTAGTATGTTTCTTAGACTGTGCACCTCCCCCTCTTCCCTGACACACACACACAAAAATAACAGCATCAACAGCATCAGCAACATCATGAAATACCTACAGCAAAAAATTTCAACCCTGGCAGCACTTGAGAACGATCTAAGAAACTTATTTTAAAATATCTATTATGTAGGTTATTTCATCAGAGATTCTGATTAAATTGGTCTGGGCTCAAACTCAGGAATCAGTATAAACAGCTCCCCAAGGAATTCTAATGCACTCAGACAGGGCTTAGAACCAGTGAAGAGGAACGTGATGTTCTCAAGCACCTGTTATCCATAGCATTTATTCTTGCACAGGTGGTGTTAATGTATTTAACTCATTAACCACTGACCCTAAATATTAGCTAATCATTAAGCCCCAGTTGGTACTCAGCCCTTATGCTGTACAAGACCATATAAGGGAACAAAGCAACAAATAAAATTCCTTCTCACACAATGGCTTTCCACATTTCCTTCAAAAGCTCTACAAATTGAGAAGGGGGATTTGAAAAGTTCACAAGTACTGCTTAAATTTTACTAAGCAGTAAATTTTACTAAGTAAAAATACACACATCTGTGAGAATAAAAGTAGATTTTCAAATTTCCTCTATAACCTTTCAAGCTTTTGGCACCCAGTTTTATATATTTATAGCGATAACCCTCTATATATAAAAGAAAGATTTCATTCTTGCAGGGGAAACATTCCAAGACCCCCCAGTGGAAGCCTGAAACTGCAGATAGTACCAAACCCTATATATGCTATGTTTTTTCCTATGTATACATACTTATGACAAAAGTGTGGTCCATGAACCAATCAAGCGCCATCCTAGATCTACTAAATCAGAATCTGCACTGTAATGAGAGAATAAAACCAAAATATTATCTTTCCTTACATTAGTCTTTGTAACATCAGAAAATACATAGTAAAAGTATAGTAACAAAAGTTACATATACAATCCTAAAAACAACACTAACGAATATTTCTAGGATAAGTATATAAAGCATTTAGCAAATCACTCCTAGATCAATTCAGAAAAACCACCAATTAAATCTCAATCATATTTTATCTATTCTCTGAAGCCAAAATTATAGATGACACAGTCCAACACCAAAATAAAATATTTTAAATCATCCTCCCAGACTATGTGGTAACCTCCACACAGACCATTAGTTAAGAATAATAACAATTATAAAGATGCTCCAAGGATTTTAAGAAACACCTCCCTAATTATTTCACTCAAGTTCTTCATTTCATCAGAAAAAAAGGAGGACCTAAGACCTGAATTTCCCCAAACCATTTAGATGCATGTGATGGTCATTTATCTGAGCCTCCCAGAATGACTGGGAAATGAACATCCTACAAGTCTTGCCACAAACGAAGTATTTAACAGAAAATTAGGTACAGGTATTAGCTACACTGAAACCCTGTTGCTGTGTTTCCCCTTGGGAATGATGGCTAAGGTACAGCCATGCCACACGTATTCAAACAATAATTTATATAAGATTACAAATACTGTAAAATACAACCACTACTGTATGATGAAGGAATCTGCACTTGTTTATATCAATACAATCTTTCATCTTGAGGGTCATTCAACAATATGACTGGTAATACACAGGTACGGGCCTAGGACCCTCTCCCAGTCCTACAAAATCCTACAGTATTTTTTAAATCAAATGCTAAAAATATTAATTCTAGTTCTCTACTACTCCTATCTTAATTTTTAATGTGTATAAATTCCAAAGCTGAGATTATTTTTCATTGTTTTAAGGTTAATCAACTAATCTTATTTAAAGTATACACTGTATGTATTAAGCTACACATGGACTAAACACTGATGTCTCCAATTCTAATCCTTTACCACATGGATCATTCTAGCCCCCTTCTCCTGGCTTGTAACTTTCCATTCCAACAGTGAGAAATCTGACTCCCACAATCCACCATCCACTTTACTTAACTGTTTAACTCTAGCATACATTACCAGAGGTATCAGAATTGTTAACTATACCTTTATATGAAGCAATATTATCAACTAACGTACACTACAAGTATGAATATGTGCAGTGCTTTTTGCCTTTAGTATAACAGGCACTACGCATTTCCAAAATAAATTAGATCAACAGTTTTTTCCCATCACCCACTTCAAGGAGGTTGTTTCATACACCTCTAATACAATTAGATTCTTCTGTCTCAATCTACATTCCATCCTGGAATCCCCCAGCCTCCTAAAAATATGGTATTTTAAAATTTGTATTCATTAAGGTCCACGCTTTCTGCTATAAAGTCCTATGGGTTTTGACAACTGTGTAGTATGCTTTTTTCCTATATTTCTCATCTTCTACATATATAACATCTTACAAACGATTTTACCACCATTCTTCAAACAAACATACCTATTTCCACCGTCATCTTCAATTCTACTAAACAGAGTGCAGAGTCTACATGCTTGCAGGCTTATCTCCATGCACATGCCACCTTTTTTTCTCCACAATCTCTAGGAGACTCATTTCAGAAAACTTCACTTTCAGATTACTAACAGTTGTCTGCTCATGATTAGGCTTCAAAAGAAAAATGTCAGAGTTATTTATATAAAAAACAGATTTCATATCCTTATTTTACAACCAAGTTCTCTATCACTTACGTGTCTATCAAAAATAAATTAATGAAAGCCTGAAAACAGTTATGAATTCATTATACTGCTTTCACATCCACTTCAAACCTCCTATATATAAACTGATATGATATGGGTTCACTTGCCCAGCTCAGTCTCACTACAAGGATTTTTAAACTAAATCAGTCCAGTCCACTGAACAGTATCAGCTTACTGTAGGTACATTGTCTCTCATAATAAATAACAGTATCAGTAGCGCAACACCAACACACAGGGAACTAGACTAAGACCAAGGATATAAATAAGGTAAGAACATATTTATTCCCTGGATGCCTGCCTGAATCCAAAATAAAACCTCTGAATGGCCAGGGGCGGTGGCTCACACCTGTAATCCCAGCACTTTAGGAGGCCCAGGCAGGCGGATCACCTGAGGTCAGGAGTTCTAGACCAGCCTGACCAACATGGTGAAACCCCCATCTCTACTAAAAATACAAAAATTAGCCAGTTGTGGTGGCAGGCACCTGTAATTCCAGCTACTTGGGAGGCTGAGGCAGGCGATTCGCTTGAACCCAGTGGGTGGAGGATGGGAGGATGCAGTGAGCCAAAATCACGCCACTACACTCCAGCCTGGGCAACAAAGCAAGACTCCATCTGGTGGGGGGAGAAGCTTGAAAATTGTTACTCTATCCTAATGTGAGTAATACTCTATCCTAATAGTGAGTAAAAAGCTGAACGACAACAACAAAGATCAACAACTCTTCTTAGATCCATCAGAGAGGTAAGGTCACAGGGCAAACCACTCCCCCACAATTGGATAGACAGACAAGGTGATACAAAGGATCATAATTTATCAAAGCAGAAATCCATGGACAAAAACCTCTCTATTGGAGCCAGCACCCGAGTAGGAAAACCTAAATTGCAACTGATGACTTGCTGGAGGCTTGGTATGGACAAATCTGAAAGTTAAAAACTCTAGGGACACTTTTTTCAGTTTTACCTCCAGGAGCCCTCCCGGGTTCTCATGGTAAGATCTGAGCCAGTGCGGTGGCTCAGTCCTGTAATCCCAGCACTTTGAGAGGCCGAGGCAGGTGGATCACTTGAGGTCAGGAGTTTGAGACTAGCCGGTCCAACATAGTGAAACCCCTCTCTCTATTACAAATACAAAAATTAGCTGGGCATGGTGGAGGACACCTGTAATCTCAGTTACTCAGGAGGCAGAAGCAGGAGAATCACTTGAACCCGGGAGTCGGAGGTTGCACTGAGCCAAGATCATACCATTGCACTCCAGCCTAGGCGACAGAGTGAGACCGTGTCTCAAAAAAAAAAAAAAAAGAGAGAGAGAGATCCAAGAAAAATACCCACTGCTGCCTGTGCAAGGAGAGTTCTTATAAAGCTATAGTTCTGGTAAGGTCTGCCCTCAAGAAAATCCATCTTACTACAGCCTAACCAACCTGGGGGAAGGAAAATATCCAGCTCGACCTCCCTCTTTCTGTCTACACAGAAGAAGAGAAATACTTAACACCAGCCTCCTCTAACCATTCTGTCCCACCTAAGGGGATGAAAAGAACTGAGAAGCACTTGTGAAGCTCACAGCCCAGGGCAACGGCTCACTAAACAACTGAGATATAGTCATTGAACTACAGCTTACCATCACATTACAAAAGGCCTATATATCACAATTCCTTTTATCTGATATATCATATCTGGCTTTCAACAAAAAATTACAAGGCATACTAAAAGATAAAAAAGCAGTTTGAAGAGACAGAGCAAGTATCATAACCAGATTCAAATATGGCAAGAATATTGCAATAAACAGACAAGAATTTAAAACAACTATGATTAATATGCTAAGGGTGCTAATGGGAAAAAACAGACAACATGGAAGAATAGACTGATAATGTAAGCTAGGGGAAAAATCAAAAGAGAAATGCTGGAGATCAAAAACACTATAACATAAATGAAGAATGCCTTTGATGGGTTCATTAGTATACTGTACGTGGCTGAGGAATCTGAGTTTGAGAATGTTCATAGAAACTTCCAAAGCTGAAAAGCAAATTTTTTAAAAAGACTGAAAAAAAGGGAACAGAGTATCTAAGAACTGCGTTCAATTCAGCAGTACACATACTAACACTGGAACAATTCAGAGAAGATCAGCATGGCCCCTGCGCAAGGATGACATGCAAATTTATAGTCTAGAAACTCCTGACCTCAGGTGATCCACCCACCTTGGCCTCCCAAAATGCTGGGATTACAGGTATGAGTCACCTCACCTGGCCTTATTCTTAGTTGAGCTAACAGGTAACAGTTTGTTCAAAATAGTAACAGCAACAATGCAGTCAATGATTTTAGCTTACATATAAGTGAAATGAATGATGGCAACAATACAGTGAGAAATTACGAGTATTTTGTTCCAGCCAATTTTGTTGTAAGCCCAAAACTGTTCTAAAAAATGGTCTTTTATTTAAAAACAAACAAAAAAACCAACAAAAAAAAAAGGCAAGAGGGGAGAGCCCTTTCTGCTTCAGTTTGCAGTTCTGTAAAGCTTGGCACTCATTTTTAGTATTCAGTGGTCAATAAGATGGGTACCAAATCCTCATTTGGCACATTTCCCCAAGAGTAGCTAAATCAAGTATCCAAGGTAAGGATTAAGAAAGAGAGCCTGGCCAGGTACAGTGGCTCACACCTGTAATTGAAGCCATTTGGGAGGCCAAGGCAGGGGGATCACCTGAGGTCAGGAGTTCAGGACCAGACTGGTCAACATGGTGAAACCCCTGTCTCTACTAAAAATACAAAAATTAGCCGGGTGTGGTGATGCGTGCCTGTGGGGAGGCTGGAGACACAAGAATCGCTTGAACCTGGGAGGCGGAGGTTGCAGTGAGCCGAGATCACGCCACTGTACAGCAGCCTAGGTGACAGAGCAAGGCTCTATCAAGGGAGAGAAGAGAGAAGAGACCTAACAGGAAGAGATAAATGCTATGCCTAAAAGGTAACAAGTAGGTGTCTTCAGTTTATGCAGTGACCCAGCAGCAGAGTGAGTCTTTAGTCTCAGGATCTGTTTTATGAGACTGTGCCCTTCTCTAGGGCAGGGGTCCTCAAGCCGCAGGCTGTGGACCAGTAGCAGTCAGTGGCCTGCTAGGAACTGGCCGCACAGCAGGAGGTGAGCAGCAGGCAAGCGAGCATTACTGCCTGAGCTCTGCCTCCTGTCAGATCAGTGGCAGCATTAGAGTCTCAGGAGTGCGAACCTTATGGTCAACTGCGCATGCAACGGATCTAGGTTGCACACCTCCATATGTGAATCTAATGCCTGATCTGAGGTGGCACAGTTTCATCCGGAAACCATCCCACCCAGCCCGCTACTGCCCAGTACCTGTGGAAGAACTGTCTTCCACAAAACCGGTCCCTGGTGCCAAAAAGTTTGGGCACCACTGCTCTAAGGAAAGCAGAAAAATGACAACAGGCCCCAGCGAGCCAGGAAAGAGGCATTCATTGCATTCAAGGATGCAGCACTGAAGCCGACTCAAGAGGAGCGGCAGCTACTGAGGCCTGCTCAGAGGACACGGTGCAGGGATGTGATGCAGGAAAAGTCCTGAGGGGAAAAAACATTCTCAAGATCTGCTAGGATATGACACAAACATTTTCTATTAAAATGAAAAACATCGGCCCGGCACAGTGGTTCACACCTGTAATCCCAGCACTGTGGGAGGCCGAGGTAGGCGGATCATCTGAGGTCGGGAGTTCGAGACCAGCCTGACCAATATGGAGAATCCCCGTCTCTACTAAAAACACAAAATTAGCCCGGCCTGGTGGCGCATGCCTATAATCCCAGCTACGTGGGAGGCTAAAGCAGGAGAATCGCTTGAACCCGCGAGGCAGAAGTTGCTGTGAGCTGAGATTGTGCCATTGCACTCCAGCCTGAGCAACAGAAGTGAAATTCCGTCTCAAAAATAAATAAATAAATAAAGAGGCCGGGTGCGGTGGTTCAAGCCTGTATGTAATCCCAGCACTTTGGGAGGCCGAGACGGGCGGATCACGAGGTCAGGAGATCGAGACCATCCTGGCTAACACGGTGAAACCCCGTCTCTACTAAAAAATACAAAAAAACTAGCTAGGCGAGGTGGCCGGCATCTGTAGTCCCAGCTACTCGGGAGGCTGAGGCAGGAGAATGGCGTGAACCCGGGAGGCGGAGCTTGCAGTGAGCTGAGATCTGGCCACTGCACTCCAGCTTGGGCCACAGAGGGAGACTCCGTCTCAAAAAAAAAAAAAAAATTAAACTGTGAGGTACATGCCTTGACTACTTCATTTTATTTTAGACTATTTCAAAAAATAAAAATTGGTGTGCACATATTAAAGAGCAGTTTTGGTTTTGTTTATTTAATCAACCTTAGAATCTACCTTAGAAACCTGTAGATATATAAAAGCACTTAACAATGAAGTTGCTTAATTCAACTAGTTGTGTAATATATTCTGCAGGGGCTTTTATCAGCAACATATTTTCAAGTCAATTTTAGTACGCTTTGGGAAACAGAAAGCATGTGATAAATATCTCCCTTGGCTTCTCAAAAGCTAGGCTATAGGCTTATATAGAAGAAATCTCACTTCAGCAATAATCTTTATTAACTCTGGTTATGTAATCTATTTGGCCTCTAATTTATTTTGGCCTCAATTAGCTTTATTTTGGCTTTGAATTAAGAGAGAATGAACATATGTACTTGATACTGAATAATTAAATAAATATATGTGGTCACAGCTCCACTTTGCAATAGTATACACATCTGCTATTCATCCAAAAATCATGAAAACCAGGACCAGGCTGTTATATGCTGTTTATTAGTGTCCACATAAATGTAATTTTATTGTTGTGTCTGGTCTGATACTCATTTGTAATGCTTTCTGGAAAATAATTTTTAAATGGAGTGAAAGGTAGAAGATGGGCTTCATTTTAACTGGGAGAGAAGTAAAGCAAGTAAACATATATTAAGTTTTCAAGATGTCACAATTTCTTATGCCAGGAAAATAAAAATATCTCAAAATGATAATAAGATTAGACACACAAGCCATTTTTACAAATTTACTTTATACATTTTTATCATAATCCAAAGCATTTAATTTATTTGATTAGGTAAGGATAAAACAACAAATCTTCCAAAATATTCACACGCCCTAATTTGAAATGTATACTCAATTTGAATCCAGTTTCCCATAATGAAAATGTTCAGAAATGTTCAGTTTCAATAAATCTAGACTAAAGGGATAAAATATCACCTTTTACAAGATGTAATTACATACAAAGGTGACTAATTAAGACACTGAGACTTGAGCTATAAAAACTAAGTGACCCAGATCTATACTAGGTCATAAATCATGTCATGATCCTTGAAGTTACTTATATAATCCTACCCATAATTAAAATAAGTCATTAATATACATATGACTAATTCTCAACTATCATGCACATGGTACATGAAATAATAGACAATATTTTATTTTATTTTATTTTTTTAATTCATTATTATTAAACTTTAAGTTGTAGGGTACATGTGCACAACGTGCAGGTTTGCTACATATGTATACTTGTGCCATGTTGGTGTGCTGTACCCATCAACTCGTCATTTACATCAGGTATAACTCCCAATGCAATCCCTCCCCCCTCCCCCCTCCCCATGATAGGCCCCGGTGTGTGATGTTCCCCTTCCCGAGTCCAAGTGATCTCATTGTTCAGTTCCCGCCTATGAGTGAGAACATGCGGTGTTTGGTTTTCTGTTCTTGTGATAGTTTGCTAAGAATGATGGTTTCCAGCTGCATCCATATCCCTACAAAGGACACAAACTCATCCTTTTTTAATAGACAATATTTTAAAACATGTAAGTTACAGTTTCTATTCCGGTAATTTGGTAAAAAGACAACCAGAAAATACTTCTTTTACGAAACAAATAGAACTAATGGTGAATCTTTTTATCTGATTTATACATATACACAAAATAAAATACACAAACACCTCTTTAAATGTAGAACTTATCAAGAAAGTAGGGAAAATCTCCTGAGATCAAAAATGAACAAGAAAGTAAAAAGCAGTGCATGGCCGGGCGCGGTGGCTCATGCCTATAATCCCAGCACTTTGGGAAGCCAAGGTGGACAGATCTTCAGGAGTTCGAGACCAGCCTGGCCAATATGGTGAAACCCCATCTCTACTAAAAACACAAAAATTAGCCAGGTGTGGTGGCAGGTGCCTGGAGTCCCAGCTACTTGAGAGGCGAAGGCAGGAGAATGGCTTGAACCCGGGTGGCAGAGGTTGCAGTCAGCTGAGATCGTGCCACTTCACTCCAGCCTGGATGACAGAGCAAGACTCCATCTCAAAAAAAAAAAAAAAAGCAGTACATGTTTGATCTGATGCTATGATGACCCTGGATTTTCTGATCTCAGAAACTGAGGAACGTCTATTACAATGGCAAACCAGGGAAGAGTTTGGCACACAAGACACAGTGTTAGAAGTAAGATTCCTGCACAAAGCATGGATCCTCAACAATGAAGTAGAAAGATCTGCCCACCAACAGAGGGAGACAAAGAAGTCTTTTTTGTCTTGCCCTAGGCTCTGAAAAGGTAGGAAAGATCACCAAAGACTTCATAATCATAAGACCGCCCCTAGGTAGGTTTAGAGTTTGATTTATTCTATCCACATAGTACAGAAACTCCCAACTTCAAAAATTAAATATAAAAAATATTTATGCTTGAATAGGGCAATGATAACATTTGATAACTCATTTACCAAAACTCAAACTAAGCTGGGCACAGTGGCTCATGCCTGTAGTACCAGAAGTTTTTAGATCAGCCCAGGAAACAGTTTTTTTGTTTTGTTTTTGTTGTTTAAACAACAACAAAAACAAAAAAAAACTCAGGCTGAGCAGCGCAGTGGCTCATGCCTGTAATCGCAACAGTTTGAGAAGCTGAGGTGGGCAGATCACTTGAGCCCAGGAATTCAAGTCCATCCTGAGCAACATGGCGAAACCCCATCTCTAAAAAAGATACAAAAATTAGCCAGATGTGGTGGCACACACTTGTAGTCCTAGCTGCTCAGGAGGCTGAGATGGGAGGATTGCTTGAGCGTGGGAGGCAAAGGTTGCAGTGAGCTGAGACCGCGCCACTGACCAAGTGAGACTCTGCCTCAAAACAAACAAACAAAACAATAAAAACCTCAAACTTCACACAC